TCCAGAGAGAGAGAGAGAGAGAGAGAGAGAGAGAAAAAAAAAAAAAAAAAAAAAAAAAAAAAAAAAAACTCCTTTTAAAGGCTGCTATGTCCGTAGGGACAAATTTCAAATTTGACTGCTGCTATAGCCCGAGGGACCAATTTCAAATTCGACGGCTCTGATGTCCCGAGGGGCAAATTTCAAATTTGACGGCTCTGATGTCCTGAGGGGCAAATTTCAAATTGGACGGCTGTGATCTCCCGAGGGGGCAAATTTAAAATTTGACGTCTGTGATGTCCAGAGGGACAAATTTCAAATTTGACTGGGTGTAATCAATCCTCTTCTTCTGCAAAACCCCATCTCTACCGACTTGGAGATCCCGAGGGGCAAATTTCAAATTTGACGGCTATATTAGTTCGTTAGTCTGGAAGGCGATGGCCGTCGAGCTTGATTGGCAGCCGCGCTTGTCCGTTGATCTGCGGACTCAGTGCATCTACTTCTTCTTCTTGGTGCCCTTCTTCTTGGGGTCTTCTTTCTTCTTCGGTGGCGATTTGTCACCCTTCTTCTTCTTCGAATTGTCATCCTTCTTCTTCGACTTGTCATCCTTCTTCTTCGACTTATCGTCCTTCTTCTTCGGCGGATCCTTCTTCTTCTTGTCGTCCTTCTTCTTCTTCTTCTTATCGTCCTTCTTCTTGGCCGCCATATCCATTTCCATTACCCAAGCTTTGATCGAGGCCCTTCGGTCCTCAGGCATTGTACTAGCTAAGGGCCTGGTGGTACTTAGTCTCGTATCCATAACCATGTCAGTGGGAGCATGGTGGGGGTGACTAAAGGCAGGGAGAGGAAGAAGAGGAGGAGGAGGAGGAGGAGGAGGAGCAGACTGCAGTGGAACTCTGTCTAGTGCCAGAAAAAACGAGTTCCAGATACAGGACCACGTGGTCCCAGTGGTGGGACTAGAAGGCAATCCTGCGGCAGCACGAGATAAGCCGTGGCCATGCAAGGAGGGGGGGGGGGGGGGGCAGAAGAGCAGGGTTGTAGGAGTGATCATTGCGGCCTGAGAGGGAGGCAGCGGACAGGGTTGTAGGGGGGATAATTGGGGCCGGGGGGGGGGGCGGGGAGGGGGGGGGGGAGGGGCAGAAGAGCAGGGTTGTAGGAGTGATCATTGCGGCCTGAGAGGGAGGCAGCGAAGCGAGAGGAGAGAAAGGAGGAAGAAGAGGAGAAGGAGAAGGAGGAGGAGGAGGAGGACGGGAAAGGAGAGAGGGAGGAGAAGAAGAAGAAGAGAGAGGGTTACCTGCGAAACTCCCCATCATCCACGATGACGATGTGTTGTGAAACGATCGCGGCAGATTCCCAGCCACTGGCTTGCAGCCAATCAGCCCAAGGCTGGATGTGTGGGGGACCACCATAGTACGGAGAGAGAATGGGAGAGGGAGGAGCGTCGGTATCCTCCATTGGGATGGTGGATAAGTGGCGGCGCACTTTGCGACCGATCCTACGGTGTAGGATCTTCCACGCAGGCTCGGACGACTTGCTGACGCGATCCCCCCGTTCGCGGAGACAGCCGCCGGAGGAAACGGAAGCGCGGGAACTGCCCCCACGTGTCCCGGCGCCAGCATTAACGTTGACGTCAGCGCCGGCAGTGGCCCCGCCGCACCGCCTGCCTCTTGTCCAAGCAGCAAGAGCGTGGGGATCCCGACGGCCGGCGGGGGGGTGGTAAGCCTCGCCGTCGAGGATGACCTGTCGGCGATCCCGACGACCGGACGGCCGACGCCGCGACCGCTGATCATCGTCCTCATCATGGACGCCCTGGACCTCCAGCCGCCGCCTCCTTGCGTCACAGACCGTCGCGCATACGCCCACAAGGGCGAGACTGCAGATCCCGTTCCCATCATCATTGCTTGACGAAACAAGACCATCGGATTTTCTTGCCTCGCTGAGATCTGCCTTTCGACAGCTTGGCTTGGTTTTGCTTTCAAAAACGTGTACTAATCATTTAGTTGTATTATTAACGGGTTCCAAATCAGGCTGCTATCTCAGGCGGCTATGATCTCTGGTTTGGATGGGTAGCAGTTGCTATCCATCCGTGATCAGTCGTATGTCTGTCGACCCATCTACAGTAGTACCTATCTAATCTGTGTAAGGGTGGAAGGTCGCAGGTTTTCAAGGTGCAGTTCCAAGTGCGACGCTCATCGCGGGGTCAGTCGAGTACTCTCGGTCTGTCTTATGGTACCTGATCTCATCTCATCTCATCTCATCTGGTCATACCTTGTGTTCTCTGATCTGATCTGAACTGATCTGGCCTTATCTTGTCTTGTCTGATCTGATATGATATGATATGATATGATATGATATGATATGGCCTTATCTTGTCTTGTCTGATCTGATCTGATCTGGTCTTGTCTGATTTGATCTGATCTTTTATTGCCTGATTTGATCTGATATTGTCTTCCCTGGTCTAATCTGATATGATATGTTATGATATCATATCATATGGTCGTATCTTGTCTTGACTTGTCTTGTCTGATCTGATCTGATCTGATCTAGTCTTATCTTGTCTTATCTTGTCTAATCTGATCTGATCTGATCTGATCTGATTGGATCTGATGTAATCTGATCTGATCTGACCTGATCTGATCTAATTGGATCTGATCTAATTGGATCTGATCTGATCTGATCTGATCTGATCTGATCTGATCTGATCTGACCTTTTCTATCTATCTATGGAGGAGGGAGAAAAGGAGGCAAAATAAGAAGAAGAAAAGGAAGAGAAGCAGAAGAAGAAGATGCAGTGGCTGATTTGCACACAGGTGGTCCGTGCGTTCTATTCGGTGGTGCAGTGGCTTAAGCGCAGCCTTCCGATCTAAGAAGAGTAAGTGGCGCGCAATGAATGGGACGTGCCGGTCCGTGCGTTCTATTCGGGGGTGCAGTGTCGGCTGATACCATTTGCCTCGGTTCACTGGTCACTGAATTAGCAAAACGAGAATGAATCTTCCGCTAGAACAGGGGAAGATACATCGCCGTATTTTTTCGTCATTTGTGCATGTGTTGAGCAGCGGAGTGAGGCCCTATGGCATGACCGCGTTTTCAGACATCACCTCATTGGCCTGCGGATGTCCACAGCTGAGGGGGCACCATTGAATTTCATTTATTTATTTATTTTTATGTTTATTTTTAACGCGCACGCAATACGCTAGAGGGAATGCTTGCCTTCTGTCGCGACTGTAATTCCGTAAATAACAGCTTCGTCAACAAAAAATTCCGTCGTGGCTTTTTATTAATCTTTTCGGGACTTTAAAATTTTTAAATATAAATAAATAAATAGTAAATAGTAAATATAAATAAATAAATTTAATAAATAAATTTAATAAATAAATTTAATAAATAAAAATAAATAGTAAATATAAATAAATGAATAAATCAACGGTGTCGGGGCGATCTGCAGTCGTTGTCAGCAGGAGGAGCAGACCAACGAGCCTAGCTCAGTCGACGTCCACCCAATCAACGGTCGCAACACGGACCCAAGTCCAGATTCCGGCGCAATCCGACGAACAGAATGAATTAATTACCTGGGGCCAGTCAATTCACTGATGATGTCTCATGGCCGTCTCACTTAAAAAAGAAAAAAACAGAGGTGCAGAATCACTAGCAACGGTAAGTGAAAAGGAAAAAAAGAAAAAAAGAAAAAATCAATGGTGACGGTTCGGTTCGGGTATGGGATGAATATAATGATGATGATGCGATGGTCACCCGTTCGATTCGGATCAGGAGATATAAATATGGATAAGGTTCTGGATAAGGTTATGGATAAGGATATGGATAAGGGAAATAATGAAAAAAAGAAAGAAAGGATAAGGATGAGGCTGACAGCCGGCAGCGGAGCGACAGCAGAACACAAGCGCAGGATCCGATTACCTAAGGGGGACGGTTCACCCTCGAATAGAATGCATGGGACATACGCGTCCTGCGGAAAAAGAATCTACTGACGCCCTGTGTCTCGTCTGTTCATGCAGATGATGGTAGAAGGAGAATCTTTGGGTTATATACTCATGCTAGTAGGACTTCGTCGACTGCTCTGTGGACGTAAATTGTGGTCAGATACATGCAGGACGGCGCGGAATTGCAGTCAGAGACATGCAGACAGGAAAGTCTTTAGTGGGAGTATGATTCAATCTCCCAGGTTATCATCGGATTAAGGACTGACGTCATCATAATTAATGATGGACTAGCTTGCGGGTTCGGGCGACCACCTTCCACCCTCTCAGCTGCTTGTCCCGATCCCTACCTTCCAGTCTCGCAGCTGCTTGTCCGGATCCCTACCTTCCAGTCTCGCAGCTGCTTGTCCGGAGCCCTGCCTTCCAGTCTCGCAGATTCTTGTCCGGATCCCTACCTTCCAGTCTCGCAGCTGCTTGTCCGGATCCCTACCGTCCCCTCTCTCAGCTGCTTGTCCAGATCCCTACCTTCCAGCCTCTCAGCTGCTTGTCCGGACCCCGACCTTCCAGCCTCTCAGCTGCTTGTCCGGATCCCGACCTTCCAGCTTCTCAGCTGCTTGTCGGGATCCCTGTCGTGTCGTGAGGTCAGACGAACTACCATAGCCAGTAACACGCCGTGCCATAGCCAATACCATAGCTACCACCGTCCTCCCCGGAACATTACGCACCCTGATAATGAATGTATAAAGACTACTTTTCCGTCCCCGTGCAGTCAAAATTGCCGTGCGTTGTGTTCGGGGGAACACGGCAGCACCGTAGCTCGCCCCACAGCTTGTGATTACGACAGTCCCTTTTCCGCTTTTCTGGATAAGTGCGGGTCATCCTTGCAGGTGGACAATCCTCATGTCCTCTAAAGGCCCAGTTGCATTACGCGCCATTCGCCATAGGTTGTGAATGCATCCGGACATTAGGGCTGTTCGGATTCATTCCAAAGTTTGGCCGATGGCGAGTAGTCCAACTACCGGTAGTAGGCCCTAAGGACTCTCTGTATCGTTCCAAAATTCAACGCTGCTGCGATGTACCGAAGGACGCATTCCAGAACGACCTATTCAAGTCAAGCTTTCACACGGTCCATATTCGCAGCCCTAAGGCTGCAGTATAGTGTGCTTTGTGTCCAGGTGTCGCATTTTCGGTGCAGGGCATCCAGGACGCAAAGTGGGTTCTTAGGGGGCAAAAAAAATTGGGGGACCGGTCCTTGGCAAAATTGCGGACTACCTACAGCGAGCTCTTCTAGAACCGGGACTTTTGGAAAACAGAAGGACCGGTCCTCAGGTGGAAGTGGACCCCAAAAAGAAGTGGGGGGCGTTGGACCGGTCCCCGGGTAGAAGCGGACCCCAAAAAGAAGTGAGGGCATGTGAATTGTCTACCGCGTGGGGGCGGGGAACGCAGCCCTAAGGTTGCCAAATCAATGAGACTAAGAGCTAACACGAGAGAGAGAGAGAGAGAAAGAGAGAGAGAGAGAGTTTTGTTCCATTTATTGTTATGAGTGAACGATAATTTCTACAGTTCCCTCCGTCTCCATGGTGCCCTCAAGCAGTTAATCAGAATATTTCTATGTTTGTTTGTTTTCGGTCCCATATGCACCAGTTGGATCACATAGAAGATACATTCATTTTCGATCCGTTCTTGCATTTTTTTAGCTGGAACTTTGTGTTGTCAATTTCCACAATTGTTGATCCGAATATTCGTTTAATTACTTTCCATTTTTCATTCCATAGTTTTCCAATTGTGCAGTAAATTATTGCTTTCGGTTGAAGTATTGATGTTAACTTCGTAGTGTAACCCGATCGAACCGATTTAAACAAAATAGGTATATTCTGATTCACCTCATTGTTTCCATTCTTCTTTTTCTTTCTCCTTCTTCGTCTTCGGTTTTTCCGAGTCTGTCTGTCTTTTCCCCTTGTATTCAAGAATGGATTCAGTCTCCTAATCAGTGTTGCTTCCATCCCTATCACCTATGATCTCACTCCCACCCAAATTGGTATGATAACATATTTCTCCCAACCAAATTTGTGCAGCCAACTGTATAGTTTCCGCTGTGCTCCTCTATTTGGATTCTTGGCCAAGTTTATGTGTTCAGTCCATCTCTTGTCGGGCTCTCTTCCTGTCCTCCCCACGTACATATGTCTACACCAATGTGAAACTCCCTGTACTAACTAGTTGCTCAATTTTCGTTGATAGCCTGTGTATCTGCTCCCACTTCTGTGTTGTGGCGAGGTCGCCTAATGTTGAGGTGTCTTCTACCTTCCCGACAGATCTTCGGGGCTCGAAGATGTGTCGGATGAGTCATACTCATCACTCCTACTTGATCTTGTACTAAGGCTCTCGTAATCATCCTCACTTGTGTCACCGCCAGTTGTATTGGACACTCTGATGTTATCTGGATCTGGCATGATCTGTGTTTCAAGATCAGAATCCCGGTTGAAGTCTCGCCCCTTGTAGGCGATCAATCTAGGAACTTGCCTCAATATCGAGATCGCTTGCGGCTTGTCCTTGTACCTGATGTCATGCATCTTGCATAAGACCTTTAGGTCTATGTAGTGAAGACGAAGGAGTTGCATGTCCGTCATCGCTTCGACCCCGAAATTAATGTTCCGTTTTGTCTTTGACTTCGCTGCCGACACTTTGCGATTAATCTTCGTTCGTCCTCTCTTGGGGTGTGGAGGGATTACGCGTCCCAATCTGCTTTTGTTCGGTGCACTTCTGCTTGGCATTATTCGGCTCGGAATGTTGCGGCTACCATATATTGAAGTTGGTAGTCCAGCCATTGTCCCCACATATCCGTTCGCATGAACCGAAGACGACACGATCGGAGTGCAGGTACGAGTCGGTTCATTAATTTTCTACAACGCGCCCTTCACAACCGCCAGATCATACTTTAGTAGCTTTAGGTTGTTGACCTCCTTCTGCACTTCCGATACCATCCTTTCTACTTTATCTTCCGCCTCTACATTTTTCTGACCGGTTGCGCTTGGACCAGCTTGATTCTGTCCCCCTTGGTTCATCTTTGTCGGCTTCAGTGCTTCATCAATGATGGACTTGAGCGCGTCCGGAGTTAGCTTAGGTTTTTTTGCGGTGTCTTCCTTGTTCGGAGGAGCTGGCTGCTTTTCACTTGTCTTTCGTGTGAGTTGCTTCAGTGTCTTAAGACATTTGTCCATCTCCCGAAAGAGCTTAAAGATTTCTTCCTTTAGATCCGCCGCTAACCACACTCGATTTCTCGGTGGGGGGAAATCATTCCGTCTTTGCTCCCACAATGGTCTCGAGAACCACCTTGGAGATTCTGACTTTGCCCTTCTTCTCCGTGACGATGGTGATCTTGACTTATGTCTTCTATCTCTCGGAGTTTTCGATCTCTCCCTTCTTGAGCGCTTCCTCCCTTGAGATCCGAAAGATGATGATGAGTGTTTGTGCCGCCTCTTGTCCAACGATGATCTCGAACGCGACATCTTCCTTGAAGCTTGGGAACGTCAGGTAGGGAGTCTTCGTACTTGAAATCGGTACAAAACCCCACACCGCCGTTGATCGTCTTCAGTACACACCAGATAAGTAAAATAAAATCTTCATAAATCGCTGAGTAATCTCCACGCTATAGTAATCTCCAATAAATCGCCACTATGATATCATGAAAGAAAAAGGTTACGAATGATGAGAGAGAGATAAAGACAGTGAATGTAAAATGGAAGAGTGACAGGTCTATACAGTGCCAATCATCGCGGGTACCGCCCGCAAGTTCTAAGCACCGTGCATAGAGACAAACACATGCAAATGTCAACAGAACGTTCGAGGTTTTACTTTCACAGCATACACATGCAAATGTAGACAGAACATGCGAGGTTTTACTTTCACAGCATACACGTAATGTCCATGGCATGCGACACCAGTCACGATTACCCTTCTACCTCACTGCTCAGGTAATCATTTCAGTCACTATCCTCGGTATTTATACCCTTCGTTCCCAGTCCTTCTCCACCACTTTCCCTATCCTTGCAGTGTACTCATTATCTATCCTCAGGATCTCCCGCAGTCGCTCTCTGTATTGTCCTTGTCGTCGTCAATTTCCAACATGCCTTCAATCTGGAGCTACTCTCATCATATCTAATGATTTTGTGCATGCTACTCACGTACTCTCCTCTCTGTCGGAGTTTCATCTTACTGTGGTACTTGCCTATAACTCCGCTGTTTTTTTATACTAACTCGAATCTGACCTTGTTTGTTGTTCTGTTCTTGTTTACTTTCATGGCCGTGGATTTTCCTTCATTTCCATGTGAGTACTTTTTCTTTCAAGTTATTGGTTCGTTTCCACTGCTTTAGGTCTTTCATCTTCTATCTGTTTCGTATGTTTGGAAATGTGAGCGACACTGTTACGTCGTTATATCTGCAGAAATTTCGTTATATTCCGAAGCACTAAGTCGTGTATATTTCTTTTTCGTCCCTGAAAATTTATTTTCATTCCGTGCAAAATTATATTTTTGATTTTTAATTTTTGATTTTTCGATTTGTGATTTTAGCTTTATATTCCGGGTCGTGTGAATTTCTTGACGTATTTTATTCCGGACTTTAATTTTTATATCCGTCGATTTGGTGCTTCTTGCTTTTCCAGGTACTCCTGAAATTTATTTCGGACGTCCTCGTCCCTGCAGTTTCAGATGAACGCAAGTATCGTGGCACGGGTTATCCTCCATGGGTAATCCATGAGTCGGAGTTCTCGTCCGAACAGGTCAATCACGGGCGGCAGATCCGCCATCTCGTATGTGTTAGCTACCATTAGATGAAAAGTTCCGATAATCGTCAAGGTCTTGGTTCTCTCAGAACCCGCACTTCTGAAGTGACGCAACGTCCTGAGAGAGAGAGAGAGAGAGAGAGAGAGAGAGAGAGAGAGAGAGAGA